GCCACCTCAAAAACCTGCAGTGTCTTGTGTCTGGACCTCTAGGCCATGTCCGGTGGGGTGAAAGGACACTTAAAAATCACCCCGTTATTTTTCGAGGGGCGGCTAGGACCCGACAAACGTCCTGGGCCACCCCTTTTTTTTTTTTGATTTTTGCCCCAGGGGCCTCCATCCAGACATGGGGACCGGACACCGGACACCGGACACCAGACACCGGACACCGGACTGTCTGGAACCCGGCCCGGACGTCCGGGCAGTTACCATGGAAAAAAGCCTCCCCAAAATGCTGTTTTTTCGGGTAGCCCATTGCTGGTTTAATTCTGTCCAGTGCAACGATGGTTCCCAGTTGACGTACCGGTCCGCTCTATTTGAAATTTGAATGTATTAGTCCAATGCTCCCCACCAATAGATGGAGCCTCTCCCCGGGTGCTAGTGGTGACTGCTCTTATTAGCACCACTAACACTGGTGGGGGTGAGTTCAAAAAAAAAAGAAAAAAAAAAAGAAAGTCCAAATGGACTGTGAGACTGTGTTTTGTTCAATCTGGAAATAAGAAAGTTGGGCATGGCAAAAAAAAAACAAAAAAGAAGAAGAAGAAGAAGAAGAAAGAAAGTCGGGCATGGCCCCTGTGCAAGGATGACACTCATAAATCGAGAAATGGTCCCAAAAAAAAAACAAAAAAAAAAACAGGTGCATCTGAACTTCTGAAGGCAACCCACGATGAAGACGCACATATCTACCGTGCTTCGATAAACTCTGACGTATACCTGTTGAAGAGAGATTTGGGCCCCATGATCATAATAAAATATCAACACTGACAAATTTGACATGCATCGACGTGTGTTTTGCATTTACTGAATGTAAATGGGTTTGAACTGCAGGGAAAGAAGATCCTCCAACATGGTTATGAGAAATGCCAGGTGCATGGTGCCGGGAAAAATCGCTCAGCGAATTGGTGGAAGGCACTTGGAGATCAACTCATTGCTCAAGGTAACCTTGCAGCATTCCTTTTTATGTTTTCTTAATTTTATGTTGTTATTTTATAATTTTAGAACTTCTTAGCAATTTATCGTTATGATCAGTGTTGCATACCCCAACGGTTGGTGCGCCTTGGCAGCCGACCGGTCGGCTGGTCAGCACCTACGGTCAGGGGCCCAGAACCCCCCAAAACTCCTCCAACACTCCCATACCTGCCCCCAATACCCCCATACACCCCCCCGACAGCCCCCGAACACCCTCATACCCCCCCCCAATACCCCCTCCCCCAACCCGGCCATACGCCCCTCCATCCCCAGAAGTTCCTCAGCAAGCGCAGTACAGCCCCCAATTCAGATTTGAAAAAAAATCAGTAGTTGGCTGTTTTCTGACTGGTTGGCAGACCGCTGACCGATCGACCCTACTGGTCGGCTGCAAAACGGTCGGCGGTCGTGGTCGGCGGTCACCAGGTATGCAACCTTGGTTATGCTTTTATTATCTTCTCTTAGCTGTCTATACTATTATTATTGCACGGAAAAATCTGCACAGGAGAAGCTCAAATCACGAACACCACGAACACTCTTGATCGGCGTGCATATGGCGACCAGACTACTGTCTTCACCCGGATACAACTCCCGGTCATTATTGCTTGCATCTGGACTGAAGGTTGGCCTAATGCCACCAATGCCTGCTCAAAGAACATGTTGGAATGCTTATCAAATCTAAGGCCTTTCTTTCCACAGAAAGGAGCCAGCCAGTTGGAATCTGGACCATAAGGCCCTGTTTTCAACGGAAGAGCACAATGCCACTGGGATACCGGCCTCAGAATTTTCCTGGATTTGAACCCGCGACTTCTCGTTTATCAATTTCACTGCTGAGAGATGCTAATCAATCAATTGGGCCCTTTGCTCTACTCAATTGGTATCCTGTCTCCTGAGAGTCAGGTACGGTGACCGAGTCTTGCTCACCGCTAAACCACGGTACAGCTGGAGAACTCGAAATGAGCCTCTCTGAAAAGTTAGCGGGGCTCGGAACAGGGTCCACCTGGAGGCGGGTGGAATTTCTTTCTTTGTTCAGGGCTGGGCCTAGTGCCACCCCACGGCAGGGGACAATTTTGTTTTTTCTACTGGCCCTTTCGACGCCCTGTTCCAAGCCTTCGAAATTTTTGGAGAGGCTCAATCGGATTTTCAACTTGGCTGGGGCCATGTATGTACTGGTGGCTTAAACTTTAAAGCAGTGACTTGTGAAATAAAAAGTCAAAGTAACGTCTGTTGGGTCTCGAGAACAGAACAAGGGACAGAAAGACAATGAATTCAGAATTGCGGCAACTATTTAAAAATTTAAATATTGCATCCGTAGTGGGATATGTGAATTGTCGGGTGATTGAAATAGGTAGCAGAAAGCTAGAGTACGAAGAACTGGCACGCGTGGCTGAACGATACACATACGTAACTGCTAGCAAGGAGAACACAAGATCAAATCCTGATGGCCTTTGCACGTACGTTTATGTAAGGGGCTACCACCGTTTTTTTAATTATCTAATAACCCTAATAAAAGTTCGTAGGCCGCGGGGCTGACTCTCGCATCTGCGATGGTCCACGTTAGTGTTTTTGCATCGCATAGCGTGAGACGTCCGATGCAAAATTCTGACGCGCGATGGTTTTCATCGCGAATCATGAGACGTCCGATGTAAAATTCTGATGCGCCTGACGCGGCACACCTGACGCGTCTGACGCGTTTGGCGTTTGTTTTTTTCTCGGGAGTCCGGTTTCGTTTCGTTTTTGCGTTCTCTTTTATGCTACGGGCCTCACTGCACTTCTCTTGAAATACGGACAGATACACGCCCATGATTTTTGTTTTTTGTGGATGTCGAGAGTACAGAATACGGACAGTGTATCTGTCCGTATTTCAAGAGAAGTGCAGTGAGGCCCGTAGCATAAAAGAGAACGCAAAAACGAAACGAAACCGGACTCCCGAGAAAAAAACAAACGCCAAACGCGTCAGACGCGTTAGGCGCGCCGCGTCAGACGCGTTTTGTGCGCGCCGCGTCAGACGCGTTTTGTGTTTGTTTTTCTCTCGGGCGAGTCCTGTTTCGTTTTGGTTTTGCTTTTTTTTTTCCCTTTGTGGTTGCTTTGGGAAAATAGGGGCATCGCCACACCACTCTTGAAAATGTGCAAAATGAGAATGAAAGTCCCGCTACAACATGGCCAGATGC